CCAGAGCCTTAGTCGTTCCACCTACCCCACTTGTACCATCAACCCCACCTTTTGCACCACCAAAAAAGTCTTTAATGGAAAGGCTTCATCGATACTAGATGATAGATTTCCTTGGTTTTAGGAAATACGACCCCATTGCTGCAGACCAATAGCTTAAAGAGACTTTTTATACCTTTTTTCCAGCTGCATATCACCTCCGAGAGAAATCTGGAAAGCATCACTGCCCTGTTGAAGGGTGATGCTATAGACTAGTAGGAGATCATGGAGCTTAGAGCCTGAGCGTCCCACGTGAGGGTATTTTCTATTGGAGTTCAGGTAGAAATATATTGGGAGGCTTATACAGACGATCTATGGATGCATTTTGCTTAGTTGACGCAGGGTCACTGATCTATATTTTAGTATAAGAGGCTTCCTACGCTTGATCTGTTACGCACCAGAGCTTGTGGCTTCTGAGGACTTGAGGTATATGAGGTTCAGAGAGGGTATGTACCAAAGATTTTCGTTGAGCTTACCCATCAGGCTAAGGCAATTGAGAGGGTATAGAATATGATAGTCCAATTAAAGAGTAGTTTTGTGAGGTAGAGTCTGGGGACCTTTGAGCTAATGAGGACACAACAGACTTCCCCCAAAAAGGCTAGAGATTTTCAAGGATCATGGAGATCTTCAGTTGCGTAGTGTCGGAGGATAGGTTAGAGCTTCGATCGTAGGTGTAGGTTTGAGTCCCGTAGAAGACCTTTGGAATCTACTTTAGTGATTAGTGTTAGATTTATCTAGAAATTAAGTTGGCAAGTTGGAAATTTCATCTTGGTTGGTGGCCAAACTTTGAACATATTGTTCTTGAAACTCAACTATAAATAGGCCTAAGTATTTCCATTAGAAATCATCCCAAAAACAAGTTCTCTCTTCCTCTTGTATTATTCATTCTCCCACTTCGGGAATTCTAAAGAATTCCATTTGTTGTAATATTGGCGATATAGTGAAGTTATCATCCGGTGTGGTGCCCGAGGAGTAGACGATATTCTTGTCGAACCTCGTAAATTTGGTGTGTTCTCTCCTTTATTATTTTTTATTCGGTTCTTTTCCATTATGTTTCAATATTCAATAGTTTGGCAGGTTTATCCGTTGTGCAACCTTTGGTTGTTTTAATCTTGACATTTTAGGTCAATTTTAAAACTATGTTCGTGTGGGAAATAACCCGTTTTCCCCAACAATTGGTATCAGAGCTTCGGTTGAGGTTATCCTGGTGGTTCCGTTGCTGAAAAGATACAGTTCGTGATATTGAATATTGTTCGTTAAAATTAAAATGCCAAAATACGGATCAGTTGAGACATCAAGCTCTTCATCTGGACCGGTGAGGAGGGTGATGTCAAATGCAAATTTCTCGGTGGAGTTGTTCGATGGATCCGATCATTTTGGCATGTGGCAAGGCGAGGTGTTAGACGCTTTATTCCAACAAGGTCTAGACATCGCCATTGAGGAAGAAAAGCCCGAATATATGGAGGAGAAAGAATGAGGAACAATCAATCGTTTTGCGTGTAGCACGATTCGATCTTGTCTTTCCAGGGAGCAGAAGTATGGCTACAAGAGTTTGAGATGAAAGATCTAGGTGAGGCCAAGAAGATTCTTGGTATGGAGATAACTAGAAATAGACAGAGAGGGAAGCTTTGTTTAACACAGAAGCAGTATCTGAGAAAGGTATTACAATGTTTTGGCATGAATGAAAATACCAAACATGTAAGTATCCCATTGGCTTCTCATTTGAAACTTAGTTCTCAATTATCTCCTAAAACTAACGAAGAACGAGTGTATATGGCAAAAGTTCCATATGCTAATGCAGTTGGGAGCTTGATGTATGCAATGGTGTGTACGCGTCCTGACATTTCACAAGCAGTTGGAGTTGTGAGCAGGTACATGCATGATCCTGGAGAAGGACATTGGCAAGCTGTGAAATGGATTCTACAGTATCTCCAACAAACCGTGGATGTTGGTTTAGTTTTTGAACAGGATGAAGCACTTGGTCAGTGTATGGTTGGATATGTTGATTCCGATTATGCTGGTGATTTGGATAAGCGTCGATCAACTACTGGGTATTTGTTTACTCTTGCTAAAGCCCCAGTAAGTTGGAAGTCTACATTGCAATCTACGGTGGCCTTGTCTACTACAGAGGCAGAATACATGGCATTTTCAGAGGCTGTAAAGGAAGCAATTTGGCTTAACGGGTTGATGGAAGACTTGGGAGTTGTTCAAAGTCACATTAGTCTCTATTGTGATAGTCAGAGTTCTATTCACTTAGCGAAAAATCAAGTCTACCATTCAAGGACTAAGCATATCGACGTGAGGTATCACTTTGTGCGGGAGATCTTTGAAGAATGAAAGATTCTACTTCAGAAAATTGCGACATCAGAAAATCCTGCAGATATGATGACCAAGGTGGTAACAGTAATCAAGTTCAATCAATGTTTGAACTTGATTAACATCCTGAAAGTATGAACACCTTCGGGTGTGTGGCGCTTGTGAGCGCAATTAGAGGCACTACAAATTTGGGGAGTTGAAGAAGTTGAGTAGGCCTGGTAATTTCAAGCCAAGGTGGAGATTTGTTAGATTTGTCTAGAAATTAAGTTTGCAAGTTGGAAATTTCATCTTGGTTGGTGGCCAACTTATTAGAAATTTCATCTTGGTTGGTAGCCAAACTTTGAACATATTGTTCTTGAAACTCAACTATAAATAGGCCTAAGTATTTCCATTAGAAATCATCCCAAAAACAAGTTCTCTCTTCCTCTTGTATTCTTCATTCTCCCACTTTGGGAATTCTAAAGAATTCCATTTGTTGTAATATTGGCGATATAGTGAAGTTATCATCCGGTGTGGTGCCCGAGGAGTAGACGATATTCTTGTCGAACCTCGTAAATTTGGTGTGTTCTCTCCTTTATTGTTTTTTATTCGGTTCTTTTCCATTGTGTTTCAATATTCAATAGTTTGACAGGTTTATCCGCTGTGCAACCTTTGGTGGTTTTAATCTTGACATTTTAGGTCAATTTTAAAACTACGTTCGTGTGGGAAATAACCCATTTTCCCCAACAATTAGTTGTCAGTGGATCTGTAAGGTTCATGATTCGCCCTAGATGCATGCATTATGGTAACATAAATAAATGAGAGAGTCATCAAGTGTTAAAGGCTTATTTTGGTTTTGGATCTTTTGACCACTTCATTCGAGATTCTCTTACGGCACAGAGTGTGACACTAGTCTCGATTCAGAGGTCGATATCATCTGCTCAAAGGGGTTGGGGATCCTCGAGAAGTGGTTTCTATCATTCCGATTAGCATAGCCAAGGTACTACTAGATCTGGTATCGAACCTGTACCGAGGGTGGCTTCGAGGTAATACGCTGTGAAGGCCTAGAAGGAGTGCGACATTGTCGATATGATTTTATGTATTTTTATAGTGTTTTCCTTTCCTATGACTACATAATCATTTGACGGAGCTAAACGTTAATTTATTGACTGAGATATAATAAAATTTGATCACATAATCATTTGGGTTGTATTTTGTGGATCAAATTTCTGTTTATATTATTTCGTTGAGTTAATGCTTGAAATAATATGTCATCGAGCCAATGTTTGAAACTAATGACGGTGCTTCTAGACATCATTAAAATATAATTTTATCATATCTCAGTCAACAAGTTAACATACAACTCAGACGATCGTCAATTCTTTAATGAAAAATGAGGAGTTTGAAACATATAAATAGTATGATAATCATTTTATATCTTTTAATAGTCGGTGACTCAACAAAACAATGTCTCATAATTAAGAAATCATTTGCTTACTTTACCTTAAAATTTAAGGCTTTTATCACGTTTGAAACATATAAATAATCTAATAATCATTTTATATCTTTTAATAATCGATGACTCAACAAAATAATGCCTCGTAACTAGATGGGAGCTTGAAGGAAAGGAAAAGTTAAAGAGAAAAACGAGAGCTTGGAGCGGTTGAGGAAATGAAAGGAGAAAACATAAATACTATATATTTGTATTTTCGTAAATACATTACATAATAATTAAATATTTTAAAGTCGGTCTGGGTTAAATATTTTTAACTTTAACTTAATTCTAACTTAATCTCGAGTTTTTCGTTCACAAAATTCGAACTGATTCCATCTGAAGAGTCGTCTCGAATATTTTTGAGGTCTTGAGCGAAAATTAAAAAATAAGTCATATATAACTAAAATATATTTTATTATTTTGAACAATTAATTTAATATTATATTAATATATCATAGAAAAACATTTAAATCATGAACCCTCAATTATAAAGGTAGAAAGTATGGACTATTTTATAAACTTCAAAAATTTGGGGACCCTAGTTATAAACCTCGGTCAAAAACTCAAAAAAACCCTATAGAACGAAAATGTATTATTGAAAAAACTAATTTAATATTACATTAATAAACCATAGAAAATGATTAAATTATGGGCCCTTAGTTATAAATGTAGAATGTAGGGACTATTTATAAAATTAAAAAAAAGTTGGGGATATTTAGTTATAAATCTTGAGCAAAAACTAAAAAATATGCCTTATAGAACAAAAATAGATTATATTATTTTATTCAATTAATTTAATATTACATTAACAAATCATAGAAAAATAATTAAATTATTGTTCCTCAGTTATAAAAATAATAAAATTGAAAACTTTAGGAGTCCTTAATAAAATTAAAAAGAATGAACCTATAAGATTGTATTAGGTCTATACCCATAGTGCGGATAAAATTATTAAGAATGCAAAGAAAAAATCTCGCATGAAATAGAATTTTCTCTGCTTACTTTTTCCTATAAGTTTTTTTTATTTAAAAAATCAAAATTCGCCCTATTAAGAAGAATAATATTATCATTAGTCACATCATCAGTTACCAGATCGTCGTATCAATACCATGAAATATTACATCAACATCGTAACTGTCAAGTTCGGTTGAACATCTGAACCTACCTGCACAAGTATATAATATGGTACACTTCGCATTAGCATCACACAGTACATCTTAGGTTTTTAAGGCAACAGATCAATAATGCACATCCATACATTTTGGTAGGCATCTCAAAACAGTACGACCTGAAGGTTTATAAGTTTTAAAAAATTCCGGATCCTCTTCGAGCGACTCGGTATACCTTTCCAAAATCAAAACTATCTCATCGAACTGTGGTCGTTTATCAGGATTGCTCGACCAGCATCGGTTGATGAGATGACAAAACGCAAGAGGGCATGAGGAGGGCAGTGGCGGTCTTGCATTCTGCATGAATCCCGGAAATTATAAGATGAAGAAAATCAATCATTTTATTTAGAACATGATCAACACCATTCCTCCAACAAGACTGCTCATGAGCCTCTAGAAATTCATGAACGATAATGTTTGAACTCGGTAAACATGCTTATGCAGCTACTTACATTGATGCTTAAAGGCTCGGTATTTAATCAAGTTCTAACAGCCCACTAAAACCGGACCCTAACATATGTACGGAAAGACGATGTTAGCTGACATTGTTAGTTTTTCACAACATAAGACACTGCATTACAAATTTATCAGCTTTTATTATGCCTAATACTTGTCTCTGCTGTTAGCAACCTGAAAGATGAGATTGTAATAGGGTGCTACTAACTGATCATTGAGCATATTATCTTGCATTGACGTTCATTCACAATGAATGGGAAAAATATACAAAGACATTTATATCACAGAGATAAATAATAGACTTGCAAAATTGGCATACGTATCTGTGCATTGAACGTAGTCCCTGCACAACCTAGTGCGGACAGAACGGTGCATTAAACTGAGGCAATCACAATACAAACACTCATTAAGCTATTTGTTAAACTCAAGAACGTTTACTGTCAAGGTTCAGCACCTTAGAAACATTGCTATTAGCATTCTGCCATGTTTACCGACGAAAGAGCACAAAGCACACCCCACTGTTGACAGTACAGCATGCCCACTGTCCAAGTGGTTGAAAAGATCACAAGAAATTGCTGGTTATTGGGGGTTAGAAGTTATGTTCAATAGGAAAAGGAAACAATGTAAATAAACTCATTTCCTTTTCGAAATTTTGATGAAAATAATGACGAGTACCACTTACTGGTCCACACTCCGAGGAGTATGTCAGCAATCAGGATAAAGTTCTATTTGCATATCGTACTCACTTCAATGCCAACTGAAAAATTGATTTTAGATGCTGCATCACTATCTCCATATTCTTTCACAAAGATTACCATCACCTAGTTCTGGGTCTATAGATCAATGATCAAAGACATGCATAATAACAGAATAAATGTTAACATGTTTATCATATATCTGCCCGATACAAATCATTTATATGTGAATTAGGTAACTCCTCAATATAAATGTTTCTCAAGTAGAGAACTTCACCAAATCAAATCAATTTTCATGGAGCATTATTTCAGCATAGTATTAGCACATTAGCACTTCCATTAAGAGAAAAGGGAAGGGAGATCGTTGGAATCTCACGAGTGTAAAACTAATCACTTATGAGTTAGTAAGTCCTCAATATAAATCATATCGGATCATCACTATCCGGCTTCCTATTTCGTATGTAACTGGCAAATCAGAACAAATCCATGACCTTAATAAACAGAACAGTAAAAGAGCGAGGGAGAGAAGAAAAAAAAAACGAAACATGCACAAAAGAGAATCTTAATAACATTGAAGATTCATACCGAGAATGAGTTAGGTTCTTTACCTTTTGGCAGACTGCAAATGCAGCCTGTTCAGGAGTCATGTTGTCAAACGGTGTCAGAGCTGTTAAAAGTTCCCAGAGGACTATGCCAAAACTGTAAACATCAACTTTCTTTGTATGATGTTTCTCTTTAATCATTTCAGGTGCCATCCACCGATAAGTACCTGTAAATCCCTTTGCGCTACCACACTGAGATTCTAAGCACGAAATACCAAAATCTGCCACTTTCACACACATATCTTCTCCAAGGAGTAAGTTTTCTGATTTGAGATCCCTGTGAAGTATTCCTTGTGAATGAAGGTACTGCATCCCACGTGCAATATCAAGAGCTAATTTTAGAGCTAAATCAAGTGGGACTGAATATGGCTCCTGATGATGCAGATACTTTCTTAGTGAGCCACCCGCAAGATACTCGGTGATTATACAGAACACAGGAGGCTTCTTACAGGCTGCAACAAACTGATTGGAGGGTGAAGAAACAATAATTAGTAAACAACTAAGAGAAAGGAAGCCCCAATCTTTAAAATATTTAAAGAATAGCAGTTACTTATCGAGCAGAAAAGCTTCAGCTTATTATACTGTAAGTTATGCAGATGGTTGCTGGCATGCCCACAGGAAGTAAGTGAGTAGGTTTAGGTGATTCAAACGGTCTTTTCATTCTTTTTTGGTTTTGAATATTTCATGAACGCCAAGGGGAATAAATAATCTGTTGTTTGTTATGAAAAATGGTAAAAAAATTTAATTTGTTTCAGCTGCTTCCATAATTTTAAAGTTAGCACCAAGAAAATCACAGATACAACATTTTGAGTGTCTTTGGTGGAGTAGGAAAGTGGAAGGGTGGATGAGGAGAATGAAGAAGATTAAAGAAAATAGATTTTGAGTGTGATTGGTAGTAGGAAAGAGAAGCGAGGAAAGAAAGTAGGAAAGATGAAGATTTTCCATTCTAATGCTTAAAAACAAATCATTCCAAATTGGAATGAAATAGGGAGAGAAAAGTAAGCTTAAAAATCATGCATTTATTAAAATTTCAGTTTCTTTCCCTTGTATTTCTCAACTCTAACAAGTAACAACCACCAATGAAAGGGAAAACCTTGCTTTTTCTATCAATTTTTTACATCTTCTTAAAGAACATTCCATTGAAAGAAAAAAAATATATTTTCCTATCTTTCTGCTTTTCTATTCTTTCAATTTTTCATCTTTTCAATTTTCTTTCCATCTTATAAAGCAGTGCCTTTAGTATAACAACCAACTACTAGGACAGTTATCTGCAGTAGAATTTACAAAAGGAGAAAAGGTAATAACATCATAATTCATTACTGTGCCTCAAGAGATAAGCATGAATATATGGCCACAAAAGCACATTAGTGGAAGAAATTCCTAAACCAAACAATCACAGTAGCACAACTTTAGAGAAGTTCAAAGTGAGAAAAATATCTTGGAAAATTTTTTGCCAGTTTGCAAACAATAAATTTAAGATAATAAAGTGACACCTATGGCCATCAGACTCAGGTTATTCTTTCACATTAGGAATCATCCATCAATAGGAACTAGTAACCGATTTATGGTACCTTATGGCCATATCAGGTTATGATGCCAGACTTTTGTAAAGGAAGGAACTTTTTTTATCAAGGCTAGTAACATGGGCAAATTGAAGGAATCCACATTGCAACAGTAAGTGAATTAAATCCCACATGTCTCTGATAGGTATGATAAACACTGGCTCAATTAATGCCAACTTAAGAGCTAAGCAACGTTCATTCCATCCCCCAACCCCCAAAACTGAATAAAAGGTTGCAAAATGATAGGGTGAAAAGAAAATGGTCACAAATTCGAACCAAAGTGAGGCTACATCAAGAGTATAGCTTAGTATTGTTGCTGTTGTTAATTGACTCATTTCAAAGGCTAAAGACCTTTATAAGTTGGAATCAGGGATCCAAAACGCGGCCGGGTAGCAGAATAGCGATGGCAGCATCCAAAATCACTATTGCGGAAAATAGTGGTATCACACCAATAGCATAGGATCACAGAAGCAATTTAACGGGTAGGGGCTAATTGCGGCAATAGCATGCCATTATTCCCGCTATTGCTCAGCTATTCTATTTTTTTTTAAATCAGGTCCTTTTTTAAAAAAAAATCAACTCTTTTAAAAGAAAATCACGACCATGATATCCGCAATAGATGTCCGCAACCGATAAATGCAATGTGACCAAAAATACAGCTGCAACTAAAATTTAAACCCCTGGTTTGGGATCTTATAAAGGGGAAATAAGCACATTCTTCCCTTTTTCAAGATAAAGTAGTTTGATTCCCCCAGCTCATTCTCATTCCAGAAAAGTTGCTGTCCTACTGGATATGTTATGATCTACTCATTTTCAGCAATCTTTTTCACCAAACTCTTGATATGATACAATTTTATGAACGTGGTCACGAGGGATTTAAATAGTGGTCCGCTATCGGAATAAGGGCCGTTATATAGAGGTAAAGGTGCAAACCGTTATTTCACAACTGCGATATCCGCAATGATGGCAATAGCACCCGCTATTGCGACAATCACGATAAAGGCAACCACAATTTAAATTCCTGTTGGTCACAATCAAATCAAAAAAGCAGGAGGCAGAAAGCAGATCACTATGTTTTCTTTATGTCATCAACATCACATTCCCCAAATCCACACCAAAGAAGGATGCATCATTCAAACATAAATGGATGACATGGATCCCTTTCAGCACAAATATAATGCAGGCAAAAGGATAGCAAAGATAATCAGATAGAACTCACAGTGATGATATTGGGATGCCTCAAATGAAAAAGCAAAGCCACTTCAGATATGAACTGATTCTCAAGAAAATTAGCTAAATTCTCATCCTCCTCAGGCTGGCTGATGATTTTAATGGCCACATCTCTTTGCTTATATATCCCTCTGTAAATCCTACTATGTCTCCCTGAAGCAAACTTGTTGCCAATAAGCAACTGTGACATGTTGGCACTCCATTCTTCTTCTCCTTCTCCTTTAATCTCAGCACCAGTGGAAACCAAATACTTGGACCATGAAACAGCTCTCTTGTATTCTCCAAGTGAAAGTCTCCTCCCTGACTTAACATTGTTTGAGATTTGCTTAAAGCAGTAAAAATTCTTCATGGGTTAGCACTAAAACTCAAAGAAAATCATCAAATCAACCCAATGCTGGACTTTAAAAAAAGAAAAACACTGCCCAGATTTTGAAGCAAGAAAATGTAAACATTATAGGTTATGATTGTGATAGTATACGGATACTCATATCTAATTATTTATAGAATTCAAACTTGAAGTAACATAATTCGAAACAAATTCTTGTGTTTTGAAAGACAGAAACTTGACAAAAATGAAGAATCAACCCCTTTGTTTTTTGTTTATTTTCTTACAAAATCTCAAAGCCTCAACTCAGGGATCAGATGAAAATGACAAGAAGGGCAAACAGGAATCCACACCAGCTGGATTTTTCATCTTTCTTTATTTTTTGTTTGGGAAAAAAACCAGAAAGCTAGATCAATGATAGGCTTGTTGGTGAACATGGTTAAAAATGACAGCCATGGAGAATTGAGAAACCTGAAAAGTGTTTTGGGGAGAAAGCTTTATCTTTTTTCTTCAGAGATTCAAAGCGTCAAACAGCTAAGACTAAAAGAGAGGAAGAATTGAGATAACGAGAGGAATTTCTAAAAAGGGTCTAACATTAATAATAGTATCATCAAACTTTTATTTATTAAAAAGGAAACGTCAAATTATCAAATTAGTGAGAGAGAGAAAAATTGCTTTTTTGCTTTTCTTCTTTCCTTTATCTTATCTTCACAAATATGATTAGAAATTTTGGGTCTTTAAAGCTAATACAATTTTTTTGTTTTTATTTTCTGTAATTCATACATTTTATATCATTAACAAAACAATGGATAAGAAGGAACATGAGTTTTCTCAGCATTTAATTATTTAATTAACTAACTTCACATTGAAGTAAATTGATAAAATTAGAAAAATATTATGAGCGAAAAAGGGATTAGAAAACACGATTGGTGAAAAAAAATGATTAGGGATATGTAGCATTTATTATAGTAATTTAGAATTCGTCGCAACAATTTTATAAATTATAATATATTATTAAATTCATCACGAGAGTAAGATAAGTTTTATAGACAAATTTTATAAAATATAATTTTTTATTAAAACTTGTCATTCCCTCGTTACAAATTTCAATAAATAATTTGAGTTGTTACTCAAAACAGTCAACTTCCGGCAAAAAAATCTCAAACTAACTTAAAGCAAAACCGTTAAAACTAAAATCACAACACGAGTGTATATCTATATCTAAGAGATCAATCACTTCTAACAACTTCACTTCAATTGAATCATCATATCTAAAGATTTCAAGAAAAGAAAAGAAAAATTAGCATCTTTTGAGATAATTTTATTATACGACAGTCTAATTCAAGGTTAAAGAATAATGAAGGAATAGACGCAATTGAAAATAAAATTAAAATATATAATATTTTTAATTGAATACAACTTAAAATGTTAATTTTTTAACATTTTCGATTAAATTAAAAATATTACTAAAAATATTATAATTTCAGTTATCAACAAAAAAAAATGTTATAAAAAAGATAATTTTTTTGATTAAACCGAAAATATTAAAAAAATTAACAATTTAAGTTACATTCAATAAAAAATATTATGTTTTTATAACATCTTTGATTACATACATTTTCTATCATTTTTTAACCTTAAATTAAACTATTAAACTTTCATATTGCGTCATACATTAAACATTGAGAATGAATGATGATTTTTTCGTCGAAAGATTGAAATTAAGCATGCGATAAGTCAGACGACAGATTTTTGGAGAAAAAAATAAATTTTTATTTTATATTTTAGGTGTATCTGATTGTGTTGTATCTGGTAATTAGTATTCCATCACCAATTTCATGTAGAATTTTGGGGGAAAGGAAACCATTGCAATATTTTGTTTCATTGAAAGATGTTTTCTTTTATTTAAGTTTTGAGCTTATATTTTGTATTTTTTTTTTTTTGAAACTAAATTTTCTAAATTGCATGACGCACGTAACAAAAGGTTTTTTTTAGTCAAACTCAAATAGCTCAGTTAGCATATGTCTTATTTGTACCCCTACTCACCAATAAATCTAAGGATAATGCGCGTATAAACATACCCATCGTCACCTATATATTTATATATATGATCTCAATCTTTAAGTTCTCATTTAATGATTTTAAATAAATAAACAAATCTTAACCTTAAATAAATAAACGAGCTATTATAGCTAAATGTAACACCTTAAAATTTTGGTTAGTGACCAAAATGAATAAATTAAAAGTTGGTCACTAAAGTATAGATTTAGGAAAGTTTAGGGATCAAAATAGTAATTTTCTCAAAATAGTTATTTTTATCCCATGAATGAATAGTTTACCCCCAAGAATGATGTTTTCCTGTTACTCATATTTTTTGTACGAAATTTGTGTTAAAGGCTATAAAGTATTAAAGTTAGAAAAAAAAAATTGAATAATCGGATCAAATAAAAAATCTGAGATATTTTGTTAGATGATAGAGAGAGGTAAAAAAATGTCATTTCCACACTTTAAAATGATAAGATTTAATATGAACCATTATATTTAAATTGAATGTTCATGTTACATCTAAGTCATTTGATGAAAAATGACAAGATTGTAATTATGGAATTTTATAATGGCAAAGTTAGTAACTATTAACTTCATGGATTACTCTTAGACATTGGATGAATATTTTGACATGTGGTATAATTGTGAGCATTGGATTTTAAGGGTAAAGGGATCGTTTTATAATAAAATGAATTTTAAAATCTTTTTATTTAAAAGATTACAAATGACTTAAATAATTGATTTAGAAATTTCAAGACTTTCTTAAGGTAAGTGGGAAAACATTTTAATTTAATTTTCAAGTATTTTGATTAAGATTTAAGGTGAAGCCATGAAATACAGTTTTGTTCTTCTTTGAATTATCTTCAATTTGGTACCATTAATTTATGGTTTTGGTTGATTTGAAATACACGAATTTAAAGAAAGAAAGATTAAGACTTATGGATTAAATTGGGTTTTGGACTTGAAAGATTAATTGTTTATTTATCTCTTTCATGCTTGAATTAAGATGAATTTCATGGATAAGTTGATATACAAGGTTAGGCCATGAAGAAGAGAATTAGGAAAAATTTATTCATGCTTGTTTTGATGTTATCATGAAGGATTAAATGTTGTACAAGCTATAGAATGTTGTTTGAAGCAAAAATTCATGTGCGAACACACCATGGTATATTCGACTATTAGGGTTATCAATTAGGGATTAAGGTTTTGATGAAATTGAAGTGTTCATGTTGTTTGCCATCATATAAGCTTCATTTTGACAGTTAAATTATTAAATTTGGAATGGAAATGTGAAAACCCCTAATTTAGTCATTGAAACCCTAAGAGAGAGAAAATAAGGTTTTAGTGAAATTTTGGTATTCAATGTTAATTTGAAGTGTATGAAGAGTAATTAGTTTTGATTAAGCATCAAAAGAATTTTTAGAGAATTCATTATATTTGTACGCATGGTTAAAATGGATGTTAACATGTGTCTTTGATTTTAGTTGCTTTGTAATTGATGTGTGTGAACCATCCAAGTTCAATTGAGGTGAAGTGAATGATAAGGGAAAGGAAAAGAGCACTTAAAAAGCTTTGAGTACACTGAGTACATAATAGATGTGATTTTGGTATTATTATACGCAGTTGCATTCGTTACATAGTAGATATGATTTTGGTATTATTGTTCTCTTGGGAATACAATACATAGTAAAGTGATAATGGTACTATGATATTTCTGATTATTGGTACATTGGACACAATGTATATTGTATTAATATATTTAACTGACACTAAAAGTGCATATTTATATTTAGTGACTCACATTGCATTCTCATTTATATACCTTGGTCTATAAAATAAAGAAATTTTGAAAAGTGCAGATTATGACATATAAGTGAGAAAGTTAAACTTTACATTTATTATAAGTGATTTAACATAAAATGTTTTATATATGTCCTGATGATTTCAAGTATAACTGAATTGAAAATAACTTGGTATAAGTTTGTTTTATGTTCATATACTCTCCTATAGTATGTTTTGTATTATTATTATTATTATATTTTATTTTGTATTATTGATTATGCTTCACTAAGTTTATACTTAGTGTGTGATGATTTTCACACGTAAGTAAATAACAAAGGTCAAAGTAAGGGGTGCTTAACATCTTACCTATCGAGAAACAAGTCTCTAGTATCATATTTGACATCCATCTAATTTATTTGATTTTTCTAGTTTTCATATATATGTTATATGTATTTTATATGAACTTTGCCCAAACATAGTTTTGAATAAGTTATATGTAGTTTTTAGGTAGTTATATTGGTTACACTTTGTAGTTATGAACTGATAGGTTTCTTCTTGAAAATGGACTTAGTTTGAATGTCGAATAAATAGAAAGGTATTTTATGCGATCAAATGAATTATTGTTTATTGTTTAGCAATAATAGTTATAAAGAAACAAATTTTTACAGATTTTCAATAAGGGAGGTTTCATAAGTTTCATGTGACATCTCTGACTCGTGTTTGATGACGAATATGAAAAAGGGGTATTACATTTATTTGTATCATGGATATAGGTTTAGTCAGTTCTCATAATAAAATGAGTTTGTTTTGAGTCAATAAATGTATACATGCCATTAGGATGTCATGATTACTGATACAGTGCTTCTATGGTTTGATAATCCTCCTTATTATTTTAAATTGATTGTATTTATATTAAATTTGAGTATGAGAGTAAACCAAGTTTGTAGATAGTTCCTATT